AGCGGCAGAGTGATTTTTGGCGTCCGACAACGAAATGTGGAGTTAATCGAAATAGTGCTTTTCTACGTCTGAGTTTTCAATCGATTTCCTTGACACACGTCGACTTTCCTTCTATTTCATGCTTGTTATTTTTATAAAGGCTTTTTTTGTCAATTTTGATCTTTACAGTGGAAATAAGGAAGGGTTTAGCATAAATTCCTGCTTGCGATGTCGTTAGGCCCAATCAGAGCGACTAGGTATCAGTTCAATATCCTCCACGTCTGTGCTTTCCTCTTTTTCTATTGCTAACTTGTGCAGCTGTTTTTTTAAAACCTAGCAAATTTTGTATGTGTGGAGCGCCAGTTTTCTGCTAACACCACAAAAGGCATTTGGGTCTAAATAGGGCGCAGTAACTGAGATGGCGTGGGCGAAATTTTAATTGAAAATGTACGATGTTTCTTCAGAAGCAGGGATTTTAAAAACGATGCTTAATGTCATCGCTTTCCGTTTTCACAGAGTGACAGAACCACACGTTTTATGGTTGACTCTTACGAGACCGTAATGAGGAAGGTGTTATTGACAAGTCCTTGTTTAAATGCAGTTATTTTGACCAGCGTTTGTGTATGTGACGCGCAATCAGTTCATTTATCCACTAAATCGCTTACTTGTCCTGCTTCAGCTGAAACTACTGCCAACTTGGCCTAAGGTTCATGCTGACTCCTTTCCCGTTCTCCTTGAAAATGGCGAATCAATCTATTGTCAAATTTAGTTAGAGATCAAGAGCTTTCCCTAGCAAAAAGTACTGGTTTGTTTTTCTAGACGTCGGTTGTCCTTTTTTTAATATTCCTTGGCTCTCACGTTGGTCTCCTTATGGTCATAATGTCCGTTGTATCTTTTATTAGGCTATTAAAGATTTTTCCAATGCTTTTAAACTTGAAGCATCTTTTTCATTGGGCATCTTACTTACTTACAGTTATTCCAGCATGTGCTAATGCCGAGCTACTGGACTCTTATCTCTGTGCTACAGTGTATTTTCAGTGTTATTTCCGTCCCTACCTTCACCTTGTGTAATTTTTTAGCAACATCCATTTAGCTGTATATCCGTCCGTTGTTAGACTATTCTTTTCCAAATTATTCCTCTCCTTACTGAATGATTCCTTTCTCCTTTCGGTTGCATACTTATTGAAAGAAAAGGACCCAGCGAAATCAGCTCTCATCTATCAACTTTAATGACTTTTTCGTTTGATGCTTAGTGTTACATTATCAAATGAAACGCAGCCTTTTATGAACTTTCTCGGCATTTGTCACTTACATGTTTAACAACTCTGATGCCTTAGTCTCGTCGTTTTAGAAGACTCACAAGATCTCCATTGGGTTCAGTCTTTATATTCCGGTTTGATTTGACATGTTTCCCTTCTTGTTTGAAGTACTTTCAGTAGAGGTCAGTTCGACTCGCAAATATTGTGGAAAACTTTGCAAAATGTAGTTTCCTCCTGCTTGTTTCAGGGCGATTCTCCAGCTCCGAACGCATGCCCCCTTCCATGCTGCCGGCTGGGCCACCTGCGCCACCACCGCCTCCCCCTTCTTGCTCTTTACCCTCCACCCCTCAAGCGGCACAAGTCCTCTCTCCCTACACTGCTTCTCGTGGTGCTGACTCACAGAAACTCATCTCTCATTATCGCCGCAGTCGCAGCCAATATCATCCAAATCCACCACCTTATCGGCGCCCTATGCCACCTCCCACCGAGTCTTCTAAATTCTGTGGAGGGAGTATCTCTTCAGCTCCTGAACTCTACACTATCTGCCCCCTACCCCCGAGTGTTAGTGAGCCTTCAGACTTTGGAGAAGAGGATGTGCCTTTCGTGAAACCGCCCTCAGCTACTACTGTTCTGGGAACTCCGGAAATATTGAATGAACCTGAAGACCAAGACGAGGCATTAATCGACGGTGGGGACGAGAATGAGGACACTGATTTCGAGAGCTTTGTTGTCACTGGCACTGAAGGTGAAGAGGTTGGTGCTGGAGATGATGATGACGAAGAAGATATCAAATCCGCCTTCTTGGTTACTCCTCAACAGTCGTCGTGTTTGGAACATGTGGAAACTTCCAGTACTGCGCACTTTCATCCCTCAAGCACAGAACAACGTAGACGAATGAGTATGCAGTCCAGCTTAAAACTGCTACAGGAGCTCGTCTTGCAGAACCAGGAGAAGAGAATAGGAAGAGAAAGAAAGGTAGTCGGCAGTCATCAGCCCTTACATCAGCAGCATAGTCACCACCTTCATCATCAAAAAACCTCGAAAGCAGCGGTTTTGAGGGATGGTGCAGCGTTAATTCGATCCCAGAGAGCCACTCGTGATCAGCTGGATGCGGAAATTACTAGGCTTCGGGCGGAGCTGGATAGTCTACAGGAGTCAGTTAAGTGAGTTGAGTGTCTAACTTCTGATTCGCCAAGGAGAATGTGGAAGGCGCCATGAGAGCTGTTGGGAACATCAATGAACCTTGTTTTGAGTAGATATATGGCAGGTTTTCGTAATCAACTTTCAAATCTTTGGAGCAATTTTCAAGTCCTTAATGTCTGATTGTGTTTTTTAGTTCCAACTCAAAGGGGTATCACAGCAACCTAGATTAAAATAGTTTACTGCAAATATCTGCAGTAGTTTTTAGGGTTGGGATCATTAGGTCGTTCATAGGTTCTGTCGTGTAAGGAAAGGAACAAAGCATGGTTTGCATTCCTTTAGTTTAGATTTCTTCAAAATTCCTCGTCGAAAATGCATTGTAACTTCGTTTGGCATTACAGTCTCGGTCATCTCCGTCACTTGTTTTTTGTTGAAAGCGAGTAGACGATTTGATAAGTTTTGGAACCATTGTTTTTCTTCATTCCGCTTTTACCACCTTGGCGTCGCACGTTGTGACGAAGGGTGCAAAGTTACATGTCCCAACCGAACCATACGCAGGTAATGTAAATACTTGGTGGCAAAACAATTCTAGACGCCAGACTACATTCAACCTTTTGTTTTTGATTAAGTTACTAGATGTATTTGTGTGTTTCTCAACAACCTAAGAAAGCTTTTTTCATTCATTGTTATGGCATCAATCTGAGTTCGACCAAGAAGGTCTTTCCGTTATGTTTGGTCGTTTTTTTGAATGTGTTCGTACGTGCTGTGGGTTAATAGTAGTAGTGCTGCAATTTGCATTTCTGCTTTCACCTTGTGCTAAAGAGCTGCTTCACCATAACCATTCCGACTATGTTCAGTTTACTTTACCGTTGGACTGTATACTACATCGGGAGTCGTTTTGAAGTGTCTTAATTAGAAGTTGACGTGATGCTCTAACGCGTGGAAAACCAGTTCATTGCATACTGTTGCTTTTCAAATTCATGCCGTTTGCATACTCTTATACGGATCTTGCAGTTGTGCGGATGCATGACCATAATGGTTGATCCCAGTCCGGTGCTTGGTAGCCGATTCAGATCTCATAGTCAATTTTTGTTTGGGTGACCTCACTCTTCCACGTCTTTGAAACACACCTGCAGTATTCAGCGACTTTCGTAAGCGTTTAAAAAATACTGCCATGGTCCAGAGGCCAAGCCGCCCAATAGAAGTGAAATTATCGTATCATTGGTGTCTTAGCAAACGGAACGAAGAATTGGACAAAAAATCAAAGTATTTCATAGCCTCGCTTTTTAAAGCGCCACTTCCAGCGCTCCTCTTAGTCCAAATCTCACGTTGACCATCACCAACTATCTAATTCGCTCGAAACAACACTTCGAGTTCTCTTGGCACTTCCCTCATGTTTGGAGAACAGTGTTGGAAGAGGGGAGAATATGTCGATTATTACGTGTGTCCATCGGTACCCGTGGAAACATTAAGGTAAAAACGGTCACCTAACAACTGATAGATTTGAAATACTTTCTTGCCTGCAAGTTTTTTGTGCCTCTTTCTCCAATCCGTCCATCTTTCCAGATTCTACTAAAATTATAGATAGATTAAGGCTATGCCGTATGTTAGTTCCCCTCGACGTCGTCTTTTGGGTGCCATGCAAATCTTCCTAAAGGGTTTACGGCAGTGTTGCTTAAGATGATAGCGTTTCTCCAGAACATGAGACTGGAATATTTTCTGAAAGTGTGCGTCAATTTTCAGCACTTGTGCTCGAAACGATCACCAGCGTTTTCAGTTTAAAGCTTAGCATTCAGAAATAAAATCTGAAACAATGGTTCTTTAGCAGCAGACTTACTTTCTACACTTTAAGAACTTTCGGGAAGCTACTGAAATGGCACAAGCGCAGCGGCATATCATCAAGACCAAGTAGCTAGTTGGTCTAAGGATTAAGTAGCAATAATCCCCAATTGTTAAACCTCATTCAAACCAAAGCTCACAATATATCCGACAACTTTCAAAATGTCCGCTTCTTTTAAGTTAGGCGCTCATTCTGGTGGACTCCGAATCGACCAGAAACACTCCCTAGAGGCAGCAGTAGACACCACATTTCGTGCCGAATTCCTACCGTATGGCTTTCCTCTTCCTGCTTTTACTTTCTCTTTGGATTCTTTTGCCTCCCTTTTTCCTTACATAATGGCTTGTAAAACTGGTATTGTCAACTCTCTACGATTAATCAGTCATGGTACATAAGTCCCCACTTCATTCAAAATGTATTTTTTTTTGTCGAGCCTAAGAGGGTTAGGAACGAGTCGGCTTATTGGTTTGTTTATATTAATTTTCATCCATTAAAATGATAGGCAGATAAGATGGCCCATCGATGCCCTTTTGTCGTCATCTTAGTGTCGAAT